TAAAGATTAGTTTATATCAAATATATATTTAATACTCAAACATTTAATTTGTAAAGATATTCTCTCTCTTTCTATTTCGTATCAACATATTTATAAAAATTTAATACATAATATTACTTATGTTACTAAACATTATTTTTTTATCTCATTTTTTTAATCTTAATTTTGTTAAAAAATAATCATATTAATAATTTAATAATAATAAAATCTAAATTTTTTTGGTTCATATTATAATTTACATGGTTTTATATCAAAGCAAAGTATCTTAGTCTGATATTAGACCGGTTAGATAGAACATATTAATTTAATTTAGTATATTTAATGTGTACTTTTATTTATATAAAAATACTACTAAAATCAATTATAAATCAATAATTATCTAGTATTTATGAAATTGTATTATAAAATAAATATAACTTTGATCATTATTTATAATTATATAATCATCATATATAACTGTATTTATATATATTATATTTACATATTCGGATAAAAGAATTATGGTTAATATTTATCTTGCACATAGTGGAAGTAATCAACTAGTTAATAATAAATTGAGATTTTCACTCTACAAAATGACATTTACAGTAAAGTTTATTCCAGATTGTTAATTATTCTGGACGAGTGGTTAATCACACCAAAATAATGACAATAATTAAACTATATATATATAATACCCTGATACATAGAAATATATATTGGTCCACGAAAATATGCTTTAACTATCTCTATTACATAGAAATATATTGGTCCACATAAATTTTTTATAGACATAGGGATCTACAAATTGAGGTGATCATGGTGTTAAAAATTGATACAACGGTCAGATCTAGATGAGTGTAGATCGCCTCTGAGATCACACTTATCTTGTTCTTCAATGAGATATTGTCTTTTGTAAGTGGGGTGATATTTATGAAAAAAAAAAACAAAAAACTTAAGAGTAGTTTTGAGCATCTATATAAATCAAAGTACACACATCTTCCCGAGAATCCTTAAAGATCAATGACCTATTAAGAAGTGACTTTTAGTGTTTTGCGAAAGTGAATACAAGTATGGAAGAGAAAGCTTTTGTGGTGATTTGCAAAACAAATAAAAATCAAATTTTGTTCTTTTTGATGTAGCGAATCTGACAATCAAATGAAAATAAAAACCAGAGATCAATACAAATGGGCGTGGGGTTAAAAAATGAGGCTGGTTGAGACATCACAGTACTATACTTTAAGATAAGATTTTGAATTATATATATAATCTAAACCAATATTTCAAGTATAAGCAAGAGTCTCTTACACCAACAAGGTCTTAATAACCTGAAATTTTGAATCGTATTAATTACCATTGTTATGTGCATTATGGGTTACATAATTATAATTTTGTACATAAGTCTTGTTTCTTCTTTTGTAGTTGTTAAATGTACATACGTCTTGTTTCTTAGTCTACGTTGTTTGAATTAAAATAATCTCATATTCCGTAAAATAATAAAAATTGTGTCATGTGTACAAACGCCATATAGACATGAAGTTCGACCTAAGCCCGTTATAGCGGTAGTCCGATCAGTACCAACAAATTCGTATGACTTGCCGTGTTGTAAAAATGAATGATATATTTCACTGAGTACAAAAATACCAAAATACTTACAGCCATTTTGGAAAATAGAAGCAAATAAGCAACTAAACGAGATAAACCACGGGACTGTCCCGTGAAAAGGTAAAGAATGTCAACCCGATTCTTTCATTTTTATTCATCGTGCGAAAACTGAATAAATCTAGTGATTCAATGAAAACATAACTAGGCAAAGGCAAGGCAATAAACATTAAATAAACTTGAGCTTGAGAGTTTTATATCACGTTAGTGTTCATAGTTGCTCTTTTAAAACAGGGAGATAAAATTAAACATACAAGATTTTGGTCATGTTAACAGGAAAAAAAGTTTAACTGAAATGTAAGAAGAGAATGTTGTTGTTGTATTGATCGCACGAAACAAAATCTGTTATTCTGTTGCAAAAGCATTTATATAAATGTCTATGAGAAGTTGTTATTTCTATAGTTATATGTTTCATCCATGACAAACATGCAGGAAATATCTTACCAAAAAAGCTTGTTCACTTTCATTTATCAAAAAAGATTCTTCACTTCCAGATTAATAGGACGCTTCGATGATATTTGGATATTTAGTGGTGCTACATTAAAAACAAAAATGTGTATAACATTCCGATCGTCTTCATATCACGTGGAAATCTACTTTTTCGACTTATTATTATTGCTCTCCCTCTATCTGATTTACGTTTCACAATATGCTCTGTATGAAATTCATAAGATTTGTCAACTGATTTTGCAGCCCACAAATTAATTCATATAACTTACCATCACGTAAACGTGTATAGTAAACTATAACAATTTCCATAGATTGTTTATTTTAGAATTTCTTATTTTATAACTTTGTTTGCATGCACCACCACTGTACTTTGTCAAAATACAAGGTATTAGAATGTTCAGGTTTCTTTCTGCCAATTCATCATCACTTGCATGAAAAGATTTGACAGTCTGATCAATCAAAAAGAAAGAAAAAGATTTGACAGTAATTATACGTCCAACAAACGTCAATTAAATCTAGAGATCAGAATTTGAACTCGTAAATATCGAATGTGGCTAGAAAAGGTTGTTAGAAATTTGAAGTATTAAATCATTTATCTTCGCGTCAAATCTAGAGAAAAGGGACACAGTGAACAAGACATTATGTGCTCTTTAAGAACGATCGATCATTTTACAAAACTTGCCTTCCTTTTTACTTCCTCTTCGTGTAAAAAAATCTCAAAACAGTTTTCTATATACATTTGTAACACACACACACACACTTTACTCTCGGGAATCTCCTGGTGGCTCGCTCTCATCTTCATCCATGGAATCATATCGCCGAAGTGAAGCAAGACTGCAAAAAAAAAACAAATCATTAATTCCCTTAACAATCGCAAATTGCTAATAAAGATCGAAAAAAATGACAAAAGAAGATGGATTTAAATCAAAACCTGCAATTCTGCGGGACTTTCCAGGAGAAACCAGAGGATTGCTTAAGATGAAGTGGTAAAGCCATGAAGTCCCTCCAATCTTGAAGCATGATTCTAAGATCATGAAGCTTACTATCCATACCGAAACAGCAATTCGCGTGCATTGTACGAACAAGATTCAAATCCTTGCTCGGCTCACATAGACCACCGAAATACGCAGTGTTCAAGAACCTAATCTTAAGCCCGATTTGGGAAAGGAAAGGTTCAGTCTTGATGAAGTTAAGAACGTCCTGGTCGTGATATCCCGCGTATCTGATCCGTGAAGCGTACCAGTACTTGTAGAAGAGTACAGTTCGGTTATTGGATCTCACAAAGCTAAACCCTCCATTTGGTCTATTCTGTAGATCGTTCGACCTTCCTAAGTAATGGTCACAAGCGATTTGGAAATCGGCAGACCTGTAAAACCGCGGAAAAGGGTTCCTGAACCACATCACATCAGCATCCTGAAGAACACGTTAAGAAAATAGGATCACTCGAGAGAACCTAACAACATTCTTGCGTAATCATCAAGAAGCAGGAAGAAGTTCTTTTACCGTGAAAACGAAATTGTAACCCATTTCAAGAACAGACCGGAGGAAATCGATTCTTCTCCACATCATTTTCAAGTAAGAACGAGTCATGAAGTAAGCCTCGCCGGAGAAATCAACACCCTCTGTTTCAAGACTGAAACAATGCTTATGCAGTTCTCTGCAACGGGAATAGGCTTTAGCATCCAGAGCAATTATCACCAGGTGGTTTAAAAGCATGCTTGTTCCTTCACCGATTCCAAAACTCTCGAAGAAGAGATCGATAACAGATCCAGGAGCTGCCCAAGCTTCATTCAAAGTTGTTAATATGACTGTACCATCTCTCGTTGCAGCTCTACGCAGAACATCTTCTAGCTTAGGTTCTTCAATTTCCTGGTATGGACTATGACAAATCATTAGAATGTAGGACACAGTAAAGTCAAGAAAACCTTGTGAAATCTAGAAATTCGACTCAAATGCGACAACTATCACCAGAAAAATCTAGGTTTAGTTTCTAAATTTGGTGCCATTTCAATATGTTTCATAGCACGAATCATCGGAATCTTTCTACGCTCCTTGTATCATATATCATCGATTGTGATCAAAATTAGCCAAATGTTCATGAATCAACCAATCAAATCCCTAACCCTAAACCGAGAATCGCACTCTACATTCGTCGAATATCAAATTCATGAAAGAAAAAAAAAACACACCGACTGGTAACAATACGATAAAAGAAAACGAACCAGAGACTTGAAGGAATCGAGAGACGGGAAAATGCGAGAGATTATCGAAGAAGAAGAGCCAGGGACGACGTGGAGGGATTCAGCGGATCTGTAGAGGACGAAGCAGGAGATGGAAATGGCGACAAGGAAAACAACGACTCGGCGTAAAGGACCGGAGCACGGCGGCATGACGACGGAAGCTGCGGCGGAGACGGAGGAAAGATTACCGACGCGGGACGAAACGTTGAGCCTCGCCGTCTTGAACCTCGAGCCAACACGATTCGATAGATTCATCCACACCGACCATCGTCGGCACGGAGAAAGTAAAAAAAATGGTAAGTTTTCAAGATTTTTATTTCGAAAATATTAATTTTCTTTTTCACTATTTCACCAAGAAACGGTCACAATAATTCCGAAAATTAAATAATGACAATAATTCAGGAAATTAAATCCGTATAAATTATTTTTCTCTTCCGTGGGATTTCCATACTCAACGCTGCGTTTAAGGATTTATCCTCCAGATCAAAACGCCGCGTTTTTTAGGATTCATTAACTGTATTTTTTTTTAGGATGTAAGTTTTGGCTCTGTTTTCGGCTACGACTCATTCATTATTATTTTTTCTTTAAAACGTCTCAGTTTGATATTTATCTAAATTTATTTTCAAGATTTCCATAAACTTTCAATCTCGGATAACAAGAAATCCTACTTTCACATAAAAAAATATATGATATTTTAGTGCAACTAATCTAAGAAACAAATATTTTTATTTAATAATTTCAGCTGCCGATGAGAGAAATTGAAAGATTAAGGTTGAGATCAAGCTTTGGTTTGCATTCTTTGAAGACGAAAGGTGCAGAACAAGTGGAGACCGCTTCACTCGTTTCGCTCACTGACGATGCATTGCTTCTCCAGTGATGATTATTCAATGAAAGAGACAACGACAAATCTTCTTCTTCTTCGTGTTCTTGCCAAGTATTTTCCCAATTCTTCGTCTCCTTCACTGTTTTCTATTGACAGAAAAAAAAGACGAAAACCAAACCGTAAATGCCAATAATACGATGGGCTCATGAAAGTCTGAGCTCTAACGAGCTTAAGTCTCAAAGACAAATAGTAATTAAACCGGACTCTCGTTTTTATTTAACCCCAGTTTCAATCTAACCGGTTAAGACTCAAAAGGCAAACCTTTAATCAATGTCACTTTTTATGGTCTCATGAGCCCAAGTTCCAAAGACAAAGTAAATTAACCGGAAGTTTAAAATTGACCCTGGTTTCAATCAGACCAGTTAAATAATACTTGTGACGAAAATTCGTAAATGAAATAAACATACCTCGAGGAAATGATGCGATTGAAACGTCGTCGTTTCCTTCGTCTTCTCCATGTTCATGATGTGAAGAAAGTCATCATCATCATCATCACCAAACTCTGAAGTCTGCTCCTTTCTCCTTCCTCCTCTGCACCAAAGTAAATAATAAATAAAATTAAAAAAGGACAATTCAAATGCAGACAAAAAAGTATATATGATAGCTTTTCTGAAACAAAATTAAAAACATGTCAGAAATTATATAAAAAATAAAATAAATGAATTACCTAAGAGGAGAATGTGAAGAAAGAGGAAAAGAGTGAAACCCCAAAAGACAATCATTCCTTGTGTGTAAAGACAAGTTGTCATGAAGATAATCTTCTTCAGTGTCTTGTCTTCTTCTTATTGAAGATGAAGAGCTTTCCTCTGTCCCAAAAAAAAAAACAAAAGAATTTAAGTAATGACCATAATGAATATTCTCTTGATCTATAAAAATAGAGGTACCCATTTTCTTGTTTTAAAATATTTTATAGCAAAATATATGTATTTATGACAATTGTCTCATGAATCATGACACTAGACCAATAGTACATACTACAAACAGATACAGTAAAACAATTAAATTCCATCCATTATTATAGTTTTGATGTTAACAGTTCAAATTAAAAAATCAACGGTCCCATTCTTTCTAAAATCATCATTTCAGAATTTGTTTTTTTTTTACTGAAAATTTACACAAGAAAAAGAAAAACTCTCGCTACCTGGTTTACCCAAAGTGAGTTTAGAACCTCTATACATCTGTTATATGTGATCAAAAAAGCAAAAGAGAAAGGTGCTTTAATATTCAAGATATTATGGTTAAAAATATAAGGATAAGAAAGGAAAAAAGTAATTTTTGGTAAATTTATTACCTGGAGATGGCTCTTGACATGTGAAATGGTGAGTCCCTTCACATCCATCATCTTAAGAACAAGCTTTGGAGTGGCTCCTGTATCATCAAAAACACACACAAAAAACAAATTAAATTAATGATGACTATTCATGAAAAAAAATATGAGAAAATTATGACACTTCCTTCAAATTTTCAGAAAACAAAAAAATCCAAACTTTAAGATATAAGAATGAAACAAATAAGCAAAAGTGTGAAGCTTTATTCAAAAACTTGAGGAAGATGATTCTTTCGGATGATGGGGATAATAAAAGAGAATTTCAAACTTTTTTTAGAAATTTCCAAAATCCAAACTTATATAAATGAAGCAAAGTAGCGAAAGTGTGACGCTTGGTTTATAAACTTGACTAAGATCATTCGTTATGATGATGAATATCAGTAAGAAAATTTCAAACTTTTTTAGAAATATCCCGAAAAAAAAAATCCAAACTTTTAAGGAAGAAACGAAGTAGCAAAAGTGTTGGTTCATAAACTTGACTAGAATGATTTCATTGAAAAGAAATGATGAGAAAAGTTAACTCTTTTTGGAAATATCGAAAAAAAATCATAACTTTAAGACATATGGATAAAACAAAGAAACAAAATCCCAAAAGACTGAAGAGAAAAAGTATAAAACTTACGGTGTTGGCCACCGAGCATATCGACGGCGTTAACGAAACAACGGTGAAGATCCGGCGTCCATCTGAGCCGAGGAATCGGAGACCGTACGTATGGCCTAACTCCACCGCCTCCGTTACCATTATACCCAACGCCGTTAAAGTTTCCGTTACCATTTCTCCCACCACATTTACCCATTTCTTAAAATCAGTAACAAGAACCCTAGTAGGCTAGTAAGTAGAGAACCCTTTCGATTTTGAAATAACGAAACAAGATTTTATTTTTCCTTAAACCCAAGAAAGTTTGGCTTTTCTTCAGACGTAAAACCTTTTTCCTCTGTAAAGAAGAAAGAGAAACGAAAGAAGCCTCAAGGAGAGGATTTGTGGGTATGGGTTGGATTAAAAGAGCAAGTTATTTTTGTTTTCTGATTTGGTTTTGGCTCTTTCTAAAAGATGTCTGTCTCTTTTTTCATCTATTCTCTTTGTCTCTTTTTGGATGCACTCATACATATCTCTCCCTATACATATATCTGCAAAAAGCCAAAAATAATACCAATTAAAACTTTAGAAAAGGTTCACTCATTTTTGTTTGCCGGATATTCCATCGTAGCTGTGTTTAATTAGGATTTAATGTATATTGATTTTTTTATAGTAAGGTTTTAGAAATGTTTGATTAGGATAAATAGAAATGAGCTAAATATCAATTCGAGTTTCAGTTATAATCAGATATAATTGTTTCTTATAGTTTTGGGTTTTTTTTGGTTCAGTGTTCCAAAAATATATATTACCAAATTGTAGTAAATAATGAGGTTTCAACTTAAAAAATCTACACTGGAAAGAATTAAACCCATAGATAGACAAAGTTGTAATTCTTTTGTTTATGAATTGTTCATGACATAGGGACGATTTGACAATACGTAAATCACGTAAAGTCAATTTTTGGTCACTTATTTCGACAATTAGACTATTAAATAAGAAGGATAACGATATAAAAATAAGTAAATAACCAGCTGGAATGTTGTTACTTTATAAATTTGTTTATTCAAAAAATGAGGTCACATGTGATTTTGACCTACAAGGATATAATCTACAAATGGTAATCATACGAAAATCCATTTGACTTTTGTTACGTTACAGTCTAGAGTCTTGACCCCATTCATTATTACATCTGAAATATTTAAATAGTTTAATTTATAAAGAATCATTGCATATTTACATACCAGAAATCTATACACGGCTATATAAAAGTTGCATTAAAAAGCATAATCTATTTTAGATCCGATATTCATTCTTCTCACAAATGATTAAATAACATACTGTGTTAGAAATACCATATCTGTTGTAAAAAAAAAAAAAATACCATAGCTTTGTCATTTAATATAACCAAATAACTAATATTTTATGTTATTTACGTTATAGAGATTTGGGGTTTAACCCATATGAAGAAGTTTCCTCTACACATCTGACCTTACTTGCTCTTTTTCACCATAGGTTGTTTAGACCAAAAAATTAAAATAGCCAACTGCTAAGCTTTGACCATAGCATTATTATTGTTCCTAGTTTCTCTTTTCGTTTTCTTAGGGTTTCGTGTTTAACTTTCCGATTTCAATAAATCAGAAATTTACAATGGTCCTTCGTAATATCTTTTGGACCACCGTTTTGACTTCATTCCCCTATTTCCCTTATGTTTTCTTCCATTTCCCATTCATTTTTCTTCTCATTCTTTTTCTTTTTCTATTCCCTATTAAGTAACAACAATAACGCTTGGATTTAAAAATCTACTAATAATAGTGATGCTGTTTATATTATTATTTATTATTCCCAAATTATAAACGTACCCCCATACTCTGGTCTCTTGCATTTTGTTCTCTTCTTATTTTCATTGTTGCTTTGCGCACATCGAAATCGAAGACGAATCAAGATTCAAGACCATCATATCCCTCCCTATGTGTAGCCCACAATAATTACTGATCTATGTTAATGTTTTGCCTTATATATTATATATATATCCTTTTTAATTAATGGACCTTGGTTCAGTAGTCTCTTCAAGTCTAAAACCAGCTTTCGATAATATTTTATGCAGTGAGCCAGAAAATTTCTTCATTAGGAGTAAATAGAAGTATACATGACTTTATAAGTAAGAGCATTAAGATTAAACTTTATTAAATTACACCAGTTTTTTAAATTTTGCTGGGGCGAATGACCCCAACTCATAACATGTGCCTCCGCCACTGTAAATCATCTCTTCAAACAAATTTAAAAAGGGGTTTCATATTTTAATCTCTTAAACTCATATGCTAAATCAAATTATGTTTTACGCATACGATTTTCAAGTAGTATTACATATTATAGTTGATTTATGAGAACTAACACGTTGTATAAGGTATTGCAAAAGCCAGATGAATATTCAATTAAGTGAATAAAATTTCATAACAAATAAATTTAAACAAAGTCGTCGTCTTTGTTATATACACATAAATAAGACCTTACCCAACGAAAAAACATATATCTGACATAATCAAATATATAAATCTACACACAAAGTGAGGCCATTGACCTTTAATGTAGACTACTATGCTTTTCCCTTTCTTCTTATTCATGCACATTCTCTATATTATTATAAACACGTGGAATTCTGCATATATACCAAAATTCGCTTTAATGATTAAGGAGAATTTTAAACAATGTATGGTTGAAGAAAGTGTAATGGTTGATTAGACGGTAATTAAAATATAATACTCAACCACCAGCTTTTTCAAATACACACGAGTTACGTATATTATCTATATATTGACCAGAAACATATTGTAGACAGCGATCCAGGCTATATGATCATTGATAAAAATAATCAAACAGAGACATTCCAAAATGTTTTATTATCTTTTTTATCATGATTTTTTAATAATTTTTTGTATTACTGAATACAATATCTTATTACGATCGTTGATCCAAAATTTGACTAACATAACAATTCTCAGCCAAAAACACCACATCTAAATCATGAACGCTTGGTTAAAAGTGGTTGATTTGTAGCCTAATATTTCTATAAAACATTTAACATCTAAAAACTATACAGGATTTTTGAATTACATTTCATAAACTAAGATTTAAAAATTAAGTATCATATGGTTACCCAGCTTGCATTGCATTATTGCATAGACTTAGACTGTTGAACTAAATCTCTGAATTTTTTTTCATGCAAAATTTTAAACGTTCCTTCGCCTTGGAATATATAAAAATTTACTACAAACACACACACAATCAAGATACTGTGATATAACCTATTAATTTTGTATTGCAAATCGGCCATCATCTTTCGCAATGATGAAACTTGCTATTTTTAACACAAATCTGTTGATAGAAAAAAAAAACGTTTTAACCGAGAGTTCAAGTGGAAAAATTGTTAGTACAATATACTGCTCGGTGATAAATAAAAAAGGAACAAATGGAAGGAAAATGCAAATAATTAATACACATTAAATGAGTCTGTGGCAGTAGACAAATAGCTCCAAGAGAAATTGAATGTGTAATTGACTGTAGAGGTCCATGATTCATGGCTTTTACCGCAATCAAAACATTCAATAATTCTCTTTGTTTGTTTTTTTCTTATCATAAGGACTTTTTAGAAATATATATATGTAAGATAATGTAACCCAACTGGATTTTGGATTCCAAACTGATGAAATTATTATTTTCTTTTTCTGGTTATTTGGATGTGCAAATCTGAGCAAACTATACATAGATTAGACAACTGTTAATTTTTTTTCTTTCTATTGGGTCAATTTTCGCATCACCGATTGATTGAAATTCTATCATAGCACATGCAAGAACAAGGCAAATTCTAAGAAAATTAAAAAATAATATAAAAGGTGTAAACCATAAAACACCTAGAGAGAACGGAGAAGAATTAGCCTTTCACACTAATAGAATAACACAAGAACAAAAGTGAAAGAGAGTGGTTTAAAAGTGTGATTTGGGGATGGATGGGCCACAACTAATATATAATCACAAGGCAAAGAATATAATATACATGGAAAGATTTAGAGATGCATGGTTATGTGAAAAGGTTTAGAGTAGTGAGTGCATAATTATTGGATGTAGGACCAAACAACTCTTTGACTTTTCATCCTTAAGGATTGGAATTAGGTTTGATATGTTTTCTAGCGTAACCTCTTTTTTCATTTTTGAAACAAAAGTAAAAAAAAAACTCTTTTATTCTTATTCCATGTTTTCGGCCTTCTTATCATATCTTGGAGATAACTACAAAGTAGTTTACCCTTTTTTCATGCTTTCAAAACGTGTGTATGTACATATATTCGATATTCGTATATAAGCTGGCCTGTAAAATAAGTGAACATATTATGTGAATCATTAGGGTCTAATAAGGTGATATATGTGTATGTGGACGGAATAGGTTGAAATATTCATTCGGGCTGAATGATTTAACTAAATGAAATGTGGAATCTATTGAAATAATTTAAAACGGTGGAATGGATGGAATAAATCAAACATACGTAAGGAGCATTGGATAGAATCTAAGTATGCGTTTAAATTTTTGGTTGAAAATTGAAAACAACTGAGAATATGTCAAGACTCCGTTAACATGAACGTTTTTCAACCGCTACTATCGTTAACATATATAGATTTTTAGTAGTGGTTTGGTTAAAAAAAAATTACAACATAATCGGAAATTTGATGTTTGTACAACAAATTACGTTATATGGTTCTTACGTTTTAAATGATTAGATTCTGTAAAGTATAAACATATGTGCAATTTACAAGGGGAAAATTGTCATAAAAAGCATCAACTTTCAAATTATGGCCAATCAAAGCATGAACTTCATAGTTGCCATTATAAATCATCAATTTTACTTGACTTTTCTTTTAAATCTTGAACTTGTGTTGACCAAGCCATTTGAGGCATGTTGTTAAATGCACTAACAGTCACAGTAAACGGAGTCTTTCATCTGCTAATAACTATCTTTTAACCTTAAATGACGTTATTCACTGTTTGGTAAAAAATCCCTAATTCGATTTTACAATCTCTAAAGCTATTTCTCTCTCAATTTCACGAAATTGAAATCGATTTCACAAACCCTCTCTTAGTTTACTCGATTTCTTATTTCTCCCAACTCGATTTCTCTTCTAATTTGTCTTCTTTTCTGTGCCAGATGAATTCCAGGACTGAGAATTTTGCTTGCGAAGTCGTGAGTCGAGGGTTTACTTCGAATTATCATTGTGGATTAAATGTAACCATCTTTACATCTAAAACACAAGAGAATTCTGGAAGGCTTTTTATCAATCGAAATCGAAAGAAGATGAGAGAATCGAATTGGGGATATATCGATTTAGGGATTGTAAAGTCAATTTGGGATTTTTTTATCAAACAGCAAATGACGTCGTTTTAAAGTTGATGATTTAACGGATGAAAGACTCCGTTTACTGTGACTGTTAGTGCACTTAACGACATGCCTCAAATGGCTTGATCAACACAAGTTCAAGATTTAAAAGAAAAATCAATTAAAGTTGATGATTTAAAATGGCAACTACGAAGTTCATGCTTTGATTGGCCATAATTTAAAAGTTGATGCTTTTCATGACAATTTTCCCAATTTACAAGTGATTAGTTAAGCTTTTTTATTTATTTGAAAAGAGAATCATATGTCTAATTTTCTTTCTTTCTCAAAAATTAAATATAGAAAACCAACAAAGACATGAGTTTGGACCTTATTTATTGGGGAAAAACTTCAAAGTTAACAAGATGAAGAAGAAAAAAGTGAGAATCTTGAACATACACACATCTGAAAATGTAGCAACAAATTTTTTCATCACTAACAAGAAGAAAATACTGAAAAGCAGAGCCCCACCTTCTTCACAGTTCCAGAGAATCCCTGTCCAAATATTTCAGAGTATGAATTAGAACTTGGAAGAATGAAAATACAAAGAACCAGGTGAAACAAAATCATTGACATGTTGAAAATCTTAGACCAACATTTAAAGGGTCTGTCTATAGAGCAGAGAAATACCCATTGCTGTCAAATCATTGTGGGAAAGATAATGAACAATATAAAAAAGGAACACGATATGTAAGAGTACTCAAGGGCAAGTGAGAAGAAGGAGAGAGACATCAAGAGAATCTTTCTGTAGATGTTGTGACATATATATAGTCCACCAGATCAACAAGTGTATCTCTTGCAGAATATTTAAAGCAGAAGATGTTCAGACACAGAGTTAAGTCTGTAATAATTTCATAAAGCTTCAAAAGGATTTCTAAGTAACTGTACCAATTTGGTAGCCATGATATCTGAGACACAATTTTACAAGTTCATGAAACATATCAGGCATAAGACATGTAAGAGGTTCTCTAAGCATAGGAAAGTGAGAAACATAAATCATTGACAAAAGATACTAATAATCTAGCGAAATGAGTTGTGTATGTTGATCAGCATAACACTCTTGGTTTAGTACCCAAATATTTCAGTAATTAGTGCTACTGAGTACTTAAAAGACTTATTAATATTGTATGAAGAGGAAATAACATAACATTTTACAAAACTACTGAAAACAAAAATCCATATATGCTTATCCAAACTTCAGATATCATGGAGATGGTTTACAACAAGAATGAAAAGAAGTAAAAAATCCATATATTTCTCTAACAGGATTGGTTCACAACAAGAATGATAGTGATTGTGGTGTAATACACATTTTAGAAATCGAATTCAATAGTGATCAATGTTCACGAGAGAGGGAAGTGCTGAGAAGTGTAATATATTGGACAATCAGTAATACAGAGAAGGAAAATGGATCACAAAACCAAAACCAAGACAATGCATCAGAAATCTAAGTGGCAAACAATCTAATTTATTCGCAATGAAACCCTAAATCGAATTTGAAGAACACGAAGATCGTATCTGTTAAAAGCCAATTCAATCAAATCACCCAAAAAAACCGAAATAATACCCAGTTTCCGATTAATAAAAACCTTGAATCAAATCAATCGAACGCTATAGACTAACCGGAAAGCTGGAATCGGCCAATCGGAGATCGAATCAAGGGCTAAGCATTAGCGGTTTTAGGGATAAGAGGAACACCATTCCCTTGTACTTTATTCTGTTTAGCCTTGGCTTCTTCCTCACGGATCTTCTGCATCGCGAGCATTCTCTCCATGACGAGCTCGTATTCGCACTTCTCGTAGACGTGACGCTCGTCCTCGCACTTCCATGGAAGGAAAAACTCAGCCTGACGACATTTGTTGAGCGGAATTAGGAGATGAGCACACTGATCTCTGTAACCAAGCGGTACTTTAGCTGCAACCATCTCTTCCTGCGTTGCGATCATCTTTTTCGATGAACCTGGAACCTCCATTCTCCAAAACACAGTCGCGATCCCCAAACCTCAATACACTTTTTTTGTTTTCACTTCGCGTCTCCGATTTGCTTGACCCCGAAATGGTCAGATTCTTGGTTCCGGGTCATTTGCGCTTGTAAAAGACGGGCCTATTTGATTTTCAAAGCCCAAACTCAATGGCCTTTTTACTTATTAAGCCCAATATCATTCCTGCTTATTGTATAATTTAACGCTATCAATTAGAGTTCATGTGTTATTAACGTATTAGTTATTCTCCATGATTTAATCAAGAAAATAATTCTTTTGGGAAGTTTTCCAATTTGATACTCCGACCTGCTCTGTATATGGCAAATGCGACTTAAACTTAAGAAAGGAAAGAAAAAGTACATATAACTGTTCTTGTAATATTTGGACAATATCACAGTTACACATGAAAAGAAACAAACTTTGTATAGAATGAAAGGAGAGAGAGAACACATTCTTTACTAAGAAGCCTTCTTCTGCTTATACTTAGCCGCGGAGAAGAAGTAAACAGCCATGTTGACAAGGCTAAGACCAGCCAAAAGCCAGAAGAAGTAATCGAGATGACCTGAATTCAGATTATCCGAGATCCAACCTTGTTGACCATTCATGGTCGTGAAATAAGCCACGAGCGTGAGGATCAAAGAGCTCAAGTAATTCCCAAGAGCATTGGTCAAAAGAGCCAACGCACTGCACAAGCTTCTCATCGCATCCGGAGACTGATCGTAGAAGAACTCGAGCTGACCAATGAAATAAAACACTTCCGCTGCACCGAGAATGAAATACTGCGGGATTTGCCACAAGACAGATATCGGAACCGGTGCTCCTGACTCGACTAATCCAAGATCGTTGGCTACATGGAGTCGAATGATCTCGACAGTGGCTGCAGCCGCCATTGAGAGAACAGAGACGAAGAGACCGATTCCCATTCGTTGTATCTCGGTGAAACCTTTGTCTACTCCAGTGAAACGTCTAGCTAATGGAACGATGAACCTATCGTAGAGCGGAACCCATATGATGACACTAGCAGTGTCAAATGTCCCAAGCGCCGCTGGAGGAAGCTGGAAAGATCCGATTTTGCAGTTCATGGCTCGGCCTTGTTGAACAAACATTGTGGACATTTGTGCGTATACAGCTGAGAAAATGATACCGGAAGCCCATATTGGGAACATTCGGATCAGAATCTTGAGTTCTTCGACTTGCGTAACAGTGCATAGTCTCCACGAGTTGGAATAATCCCCGGATTTTGATTCTTCCTCTGAGATAACAGCCGCTTTGTCAAGATACCTGCGCCATGTCGAGAACCGTGTTAAACCAAGCAAAGCTTTATATATTCCAAGTAAGAAAATGATGCGGATTTTAAAGAGATTTTACTGGCAATCATTGGTATGTACGATCTTTCTACTTCCAGCAATAGCAGAGTTCTTGTCTTGGGTTTCATAAAGAAGTGTGGCGTCTTCAGGGACCTTGAGGCTCGATTTACGGAATGAAGCAACCACGACTTGAGAAATCCGAGTTATTGGGCTGCCTCCAGGTTTCTGAAACCTATAAAGCGGCGTGCCAAAGAAGAAACTTGCGATGGCGAGTCCCATGAACACGGTTGGTATACCAAACCCTAAACCCCACCCGCGGTTCTCTTGAATCCAGACTAGAAGACTAGATGACACAAGTGCACCGATATTGATGGAGAAGTAAAACCAGTTGAAGAAGGAAGCTTTTCTAACTCGTTCACCTGAGTCCGTGTCATCAAACTGATCTGCACCAAAGGATGAGACGCATGGTTTGATACCTCCAGTGCCCAAGGCGATCAGGTAAAGCCCGCTAAAGAACATCGCGTACTGAGCTGGCGTTGCTGATGGACAAAAGTCCCCAATGCATTCTGCTGGCTTCAATGCCGGAACTGAAGCTGAAAGCGTTAGCGCCGACATCCCCTAAACGAAAACAAAAACCAATCACTAAACAGAGCAAACAAATCCAAAACAATGAACTTTAAATCGATTGTATGGGAAGACCCAACAAGACATACTGTAAAACCATACAGCTACAATCAGTCTTATGGTAGTTATACTAGACAATAGCTAAAGTCTTGACACATTATGTCTTGGCTTATCACAAATTCAACTACAAAGTCATGAGTCCTGCGAAACCCGTTGTTGTAAAGAGAGGGATTTGTGATAGTGCTTACGATGAAATAAATCCCGGAGAAACAAGCGATGGTCCAGTATCGTCCCCAGTAAGCATCGGCTAAGACAGCTCCAATGAGAGGAGTGAGATAACAAGTCCCTTGCCATGTTGTGACGTTTGTAGCAGCGGAAACGTTTCCTTGGTGTAGTTTAGTGGTAAGGTAAGTGATTAGATTCCCAGCAATACCATAGTAAGCTAGCCTCTCGCAGCATTCATTGCCTACACATCAATTAAGATCATCAGTAACAAAAGTTGTATGCAATTGAAATCAAAAGGTAAAGCCAAATTCAAACAAAACAGTCTTTGTACCGAGAATGAATGGACAAGCTTTCCAGTTCCCAGTTTTCTCCTTTAATGGTGGGTTTCCATGAAGGTCCACGGAACCATCTTGTGCATACAATTTCGCTTCCTGGTTAAACAAAATCCAGAAACGTCTTCAGCCAAAGAGCAATGCAGTGAATGAAATTGAGTTTCGTTAATCAGAGATTCACAAACACATAGATAACTAACCAAGAACAATCTAGCAAAATTGAAGCAACTTGATAAGAGTATATATGCCCAGAACCCAGAATCATGTATAAATTGAAGTCATTAAACTATAATCAGTAAGTTTATGGGGAAAACAGATACAACGAAGGCGATCAACAACTCTGACGCAAACAGTTATTACCCAGAAAACCACTCAATAAACCCAGAAGAACATGCAAAAGATCAACTCAAGCTCAATCCAAGATTTTCGAATTCAGCAAAAAATTGGGAGAAATGAAAAGTGTAAGATACAAAATCAAAACTCGATAGCCCAAATTGATTAACGGAATTCGCGCCATGAAAAACCCTGCGAAATTGATCAAACCTGTGATATTAAACCTTCTTCGATGAGAGGTCTTTCTTCTTCAATGGAACCCATCGTTTTCGCTTCGAGCTAACCAATATAGATTCTTTTCGCTGAATCTTTACTTTTATTTATGAGAAGACGTGACGGATTATTATTTTACTTTTCCCGGCGAGATTTTTATTTTTAATTGGAAAATAATAAGCGAACTAATAAAGCAACAATCTGATCTTTTACGATTACGATTTCTCTATTATTTGTTGACGCAAGATAAAATTGTGGATCGACTTATCCATGTCTCAAGTTGTATCACTCTAACCAAGATAAAATAATTGTTTTTCTTTTAAACGGTTACAAACTAAAAAAAATCTATTAAAATAAATTGGCTAATTTATTGTTTTTACCAATTTTGGGTGCTCCTATATCAATGTATGTACTATCTACAACTCAAATACTTAATTTGATTTTTGTTACATGATGACCAAACAAAAAAAAAGGAAAGAATTTTATCACATAATATGTCCCAAATTTTATTTTAGATGGTCCATACTCAAAAGTGGTTATACACAAAAAAAATTAAGCATAAGTTAAATTAGTTTCTTATAAGGTTCATAAAAAATTAAGCATAAGTTAAGTTACGCACATGTCACGATAAGAGACGCGGACCCACGCTGGGATAGGGTGTCATATGACACAAGTTAAATTTATCAAGTATTGGTTTTGCTAAGAATATTCAAAAATTCTGTAGCTTATTTGGTTCATCAAACATTTGTTGACACTTTTTATCTAAGTTCGAAACTTGGAGACAACAATTTTTTTTTTTGCACCCTTGGATTTTTGGATTCCTTCACAAAAAATCTCATACTAATTGGAGTTGGATATTACTTATATATTAGACCATATTAGTCTAAATTTCTAATGTAGGACTTTGGATTGATTTCCAACAATTTTCCTCTCAAACCAAAGACCACATAACTCTTGATCTTCCACCTACATCGATAGGTAGTATTCATCTTGTACATCTTACTCGCAAAGTTATTTTAAGGGCTTTCTCCTTCCACAACGAATATGCAGCCCAATCCACTTCTTCTGGTATTTTTCTTAACTTGAACTCTGATACCATTTATTGGGTTTTTCCAAGGCCATGTCCAACTTCCTATTTGTATGATGTTATCCGCTTTGGGTTAAGTGGCAAAACCCACACAGAATTAATTTTAGGTTTTTTCCCAAAAAGCCTCATACTAATTGGAGTTGGACATTACTTATATATTAGAACATATTGGTCTAAACTTCAACTTTGGATTGATTTCCAACACTAAATATACTCTGTAGTAGAAACTTCCACAGTGATGATTGCCATACAGTTACTGTTATCACAGCTCTTCTTCTTAGCTGCCTATTTTCTTTGGATAGTTTTGGTGAATTAGAGAGCTTTCGGTGCTTTAATTGGGTTTCAAAGGTTGTTTCTGTTTCGACTCATGAATACAATTTTGCTGGACTTTAAGGCTACATGACTCAGCTAAAAAGATATTGCTAATGTGTTCCTTATATTAGAACAATAGGAAAATGGTTTCTTTTGTTAGTAGATAACATATATTAAATACAACTTCATATGTTCTGGCTCTACTAGCCATGACAATTGGTTCCTCATTCGGATAATTTGTATTTACTTACATATTTGTTTGAGTTTTAAGCGCTTACGTGGACTATCTGCTTCATGTGTTAGTTCTGTAAGAATGAATCAAAATATACAAGTTGGCCAAGGAAATCTAAAAGTTACTCTTTTCAGAAGGAGTGGAAATGACTTGACATCGATTGATCTGATGTTGGTTTTGGGATAACTTCTAAGCTTACTGTATAACAATCATTGGAAGCGATGGAACTGATTAGGATCTACACGGGTAGATCAAGAAGAGATTACAGTTTGAATTGAAAGTGACTGATAGATATTGGTTAGTCGGTTATTGTGAAAGTATCGTTAAGACTTAATAATGTACTCCAAGATCTCGCTAATTATTGCCGACCTTAAATGTTTTAGAAATTAGACATACGTAAGTTGTAAATATACATTAAAAGTAAG